ACTGTATAAGTAGTATTGTGTAATGAACTTGAATAACTGTGTATTTAAGTTGAATTTTGCTACAATAGGCTCTGTTCTTAACTATGGGTCATCTGTAACCTGGGCATTCTTAACCTGGGGACTACCTGTACAGAAATGTAATTATCTCATTCTTCTACTAAAGAAAAAAAGATGCTCAGCTCAATACATGTACCACATTTCCAATCAACTTTCCAAGAAGATGTAGCCTGTTAACTTCACTGAGGCCATTACAATGTTTATCATGTATAGACAATGACTGTCTGTAATACTAACATTAAGAAACAAATATTAGCTCAGATGTAATAATGCCAAGAAAGAGATTGAAAAGAAGGCATTACTTTGTTTTCCTCTGCTCCACAGCAAGCTCAATCAATGCAAAAACTGAGAAAATTTGTTTATTAATATTCCACTGCTAAACTAACTCCAAATTTGGCTTAGCAAAGTTAAATAAATCTAGAAGGAGAAATGATGATAATAGCAAAAACCTGCTAATTCCAGGTAGACAATTATATGCTATTCTGAGTCTAAAACAACACGATGCTTGCTCCATATCACCTGCAGTGGGAGAAACTCATTATTTCAAAATGTTTAAGCACTTATATCACAAAACCAAGGTTTTATCAAGCAAAACTATTGTTGTTTCACTGGGCACCAAGTGGAAGATTTGCAACATTTTGAAATGTGGGTTTCTTTAACTGGAATCTCCAAAATAATGATCATTTTAAGGAATGCAGATTTTTGTGCTTCATCAGGTGATTATGGGTTGTCATGAAAATAGAAGAAACCACAGGAGAAAAGCCACTTTCTGCTTCTTCTCACCAGTTTCAATACTATAGGTAAAGCCAACCAGAAAGATATAGAAGAACATGCATTCAAATGAGTCTTCTAGGAAATGCATCTTTGTCTACTGGATCCATCCACATCTGCTTTGTTGAGAGACCTGTGTTTGCAGCTGTTTGGCTTCCAGGTCTTTGCTGGAGTCCAACCACTTCTTTCTCACCAATATCCAGTGGAAAGACCCAAATCTCCACATTGTATTTCCAGGGCTGAAAAACTAACATGTTGTGGCCAAGGACTGATGGATGGGGGGCTGGAAGCAACGCACATGCTCAACTGTTGAACTGTCTGTTTCCACTGATTTCATGTATTTGTTCAGGATGGCAAAAATCTCATTGTTCAGAATTTGGTACTTCCTGATCCTGTCAGCCATTTTCTTAAGTGGCTGGAGATAAAAACAAAAAACAAACAAAAAACAAACAAAAAAACAGGGAATAAGAAAATATGAACACTATCACCACTAATTTTATAGCTATCCTGTTGTCAAAAGAACCAACAAGGCCACAGGATAAATAAATATCTAGAATAGTTCTCTCCTACCTCTAAATGGAAAAAATGTTTCAGACTCCCACTGACATAACTTGACCTATTTCTTAGGCATCATAAATATAACATCTCTCTTTATGCTTCCACAAATGAGCTGGAAGATAACACATTTGTCTTAAAATTAATAGGACCAAATATTTAGGCAAAGGGAATAGCTGCTCAACCTACAGCAACACTGCTCTTAAGAGAAGTGGCCCTATATCTGTTGACTTCCTCAAGTCCTTCTTTTCTTCTTTTTCATTCCCTCACTCCCAAACAGCTAAATGTATACAAATTCTTTCTAGCTTACCCCTCCTAGCACTTCTTTGTTTACTAATACAGGCCAGCAGACCCTGTATTTATTATAAAGCATCCACATCAGACATGACCCTGTTCAGTTGGGAAGGGCTATTTGCTGTTTTGCTGCTCCTTTATTTAATTCTCCTACATCAAAATGTAAAATCCCCAAAATACAGGTTGTACTAATCTGGTAGTTAATTGTCTGCTCTCCTTAGTATTAAAAAAAAAAAAAAGACAATTTCAGGAGAAAGTCCATGGCTTAGTGGTGAAGCAGATGCTTTGCACAAAGAATGTCAAAGGTTCAGAACTTTGTATCTTCATGGCTGGAAACTCATTTCACTAAAACTCTGGAAAACAGATTCAGTGCAGTGCAAAAGTTCTGAGCTGAAGTTTGACATAAAACAATTTTTAAGTTTCCACCTAGGATGTATAAAAATTCTGTTTAAGCTTTGGGGAACCACTGATGTCAGTGCATACAGTGTATACTCAGCTGGTGGAACAAATCCTACATCTGGTAAGATGGCAATCTATGTCCATATGCTCACTCTCACACTTACCACATTCTTTATGATTTCATCCTTCCCATCCTGTCTCTGCACTTTTAACAGGTGATAGCAGAAGTCAAAAAGATCAAAACGACGCTGTTGCCCCAGAAGAACTATGACTGAACAACCAGCCCAGTTTAAACCATCTCCAAAACACTGTCTAGAAGGAAAAGGAAGAGGGAAGACGTTATTTGGAAAATAATTTCTTCTTGCTTGATTCTGTGAAGAAGTAACATGTTCTGAGAGGTTCGTAGAACAGAAAGACAGGATTGTGGCCTTTGTTCAAGACTGGCCTCAAAGATATGGAGTCCAATTTCTAACAAAGTACCCATGTTGTTTTACATGTAATAAAATCTCAGCTATTTGCAGATTGGTTATAGCCTTCAGAACAGGCCTACTCACTCAGCAGTGAATTCATTTGTTCCAACAGGAATGCAGTACACAAACTGCATGGCGCTCCAGAGCCGGTGAAATTCAACACATTCATCAACATGCATGACGCCATTGGTTGGGGGAGGCCCACGCCAGATGGGGTCTTGGAGGTAGCTCCGAATGCGGGTCAGGATAACCTCAAACATGGACAGCCCACAGCACAACCTCTCCTTGGTCAGCAAGTCTCCTTCACGGGCTATGGCTATTTGCTGATGGAGAAGAAAAGCCGTATTATAAAATACCACTTTCTCCCAGAATCTCCATACTGATCTCCCCACCCAGCCCTCCAATAATGTTTGGAATCCGTTAAGATATTTAAGAAAGGGCTTAGCCTGGTTAGATTTAATTAAAATCTAGTAAAGTTTTGCTTGAGAACACTGAGTTTTGTTGCTTAGTTTAAGGAAGTAACTTTCTAACACATCTTTGAATATTTTATCCAAATACTTATTACTTTACTGATACTTTTGGAATGTTATGGTATTTTGGAAAGAGCCAAAATTTGCTTCTCTATTAGGATTTTTTAAAAAAATCAAGATTTTCTGCGTACGGTATTGTTCCTGCCAACTGAACTCCTGACAGTGAAATATTGGAGTGGTTCGCAATAATGGTTTCTTACTGTAGTAAATATTCAACTTCTATGAAGTGTAATTTGCATAAGATCATGTATTTTATATGTGCATTTGTTAGTGGTACCGGCTTATTATAAATTATTCATCCAGATCTGCATATCTATATGTATTTAGCATTTGCTGCTTAGGATGATCTTACATACATGATTACATGTTTAAGTTTAATCTTGACAATCTGTAATGCAAAATTCATGAGCAACTTAAAATGTGACAGGTAATAGAGAGATCCAAGAAAAAAAATATGCCACTGTTCCAGTAATTTTTCATTGTGTATTTTAGTTATGATGACAAGAGAAGAAGCATTTTTGAATCAACATAAGAAAAACAATTGTTTTTCTCTGCTTTGATCTGAAAAGACAAATTTTAAAGAAAAAGATTCCTTTTTCCACCCAATTTTGTAGAACTCAAAACAAGTGGTAAAATATAGTCAGAAAATAACATTTTACAATACCAATAACTCAATATTTTTGGAACTCTAAAAAGCGTGAGTCATTCGCACGCAGAAATGAATGAGGGTTATACATATTATTGCCCAGAGAACTGCACTTGTAAATTTTGTACAGTTTCACTTGAAAGAGAACAACATGATGAAAATACAGATATGTAGCACAGAAATGGGAGGCAGGATGGCAGAACGAGATGGATTAGCACAGTGAACAACTAAAGGAATTTCAGCCATCACAGAGCTATGCCATTTCAATCCTTTGATGATGCAGTTGCAATCACAAAAGAGCACAGCTGGACGGACTTTCCCTCTTTGCTTCACAAAGATGCTACAGCACCTTCATCAGGACACGCTGAGATACTCAAATATTGTTTATATTTTACATTCAAGAAGCTCCTATTAAAGATCTATCCATTACTTCTAGTGGGAATCTAAAGTGGAATATCTAGTATGCAGAGGAATAATAATGGACCAATCCATTTTTATACCTTCAGGCAGTGAAAGCTAAAAGGCGGTACAGAAAACGATGACTTTAGATACACTTTTCCAAGGAGTAAATCAATATATGCAGACGAGCTCATATTAGGAATCACTGAAAATAATTCCAACTCTATACATTGTAATTTTTTGCGTATTGAAGATTCTTAGATTGAGATTTTACACTGATTTCCTCTCAGGTAATTTCCCACTAAACTCAGTGTGAATTACTTGCGGATGGTATAACAGCAGTGGTCAAATATAGACTTGGGAATGGAGTTAAATACTTTTCATTACATAACAGTTGTGTCCTTAACTGATTTATTCAAATCAGATGTTGAGCAAGAGGTCATTTCTAGATATCAGATTTCTTAATTTATGTAGACATCATGTCTTTAAAGTTAAAGGAGCAGAACATCCTTTGAATATTGGCACAATAGTGGCTAGAACTTATTTTTTTTTCTTTTTCAAAAGCTATATTACCTCACTTATATTCCCAAATGCCAGCTGGGGCAATTGGAAAAAATAACAAGATTTCCTAGGATAATCTGATGCTTAATGACTAGACTACTAAAATATACAGTACTCTATACGTCTTCTGCTTTTGAAGACAACTCAGAAACTGCTGTTGGTCCAAAATACAGATGCCTAGTAGCTAACACCAATTAGTATAAGCACAATTAGCAGTACACCACCAATATTTTTGCCACTGCATTGGTTATCAACAGGTTTCCAAGTCCAATTCAAAGTATTGGAGATTACATATAAAACCCTACAAGACTCAGTCCCCACAGGTATCATCTTTCCTGGATATATTGTGCCTATCCTATGCATTTCTCTTCAGGAAGGATGCTTAGGATCCCTGCCTTATGTGAAGTGAAGGGGATGGTGGCCCAGAGGTGGTCTCTCAGTGGTAGCTCCACGTGAAGGGACCAATCATCCCCCTGAAGTTTATGAGGTCCCAATCTGCAGCCATCCAGAACTCTGTGAGGAGTATCCTGTTCTGTTAAGCACTTGGCTGCTAATAGTGGAGATGAGCCCTGATCTTGACAGGACTGTTGCTGCTGTTGTTGTTACATTACCTTTTATGGAGTATTTATTTGGATGGTGATTGTTCATGGTGGGATTGGCTTTATCATGCTGTTGCACTATAGATTTTATAAACTAGTGTCTTCACAGTGGACAGTATATAAATTGATGTACACATAAATGAACGTACAGCTCTTCAATGAGCAAAAGAATTAAAAGGGAATACAATATTTTAAGGCAAAACAAGAGAATAAAGTTCTTATCCTTATGGAAAGCTTATTTAAGAGTTTCTCAAAGTTTCTAAATAGATTTGTCAAGATTTTCCCCAGATGTTGGTGCTTTTCCTTCAACATCTTCTTTGTGCTACCCAGTGAATATACTTACATAATCAATGCACTACAAAAAAAAAAAAAAGCGCCTGTGTGGCATCTAGTCAATGACGGCTTGCATTCCCTGGAGAAAGAGCTATTGTGGGGTTAAACTAGCCAGTACATTTCCCCATTCATGCATGACAGAGATATGATTTTCCCCCCATATATCCTTCAGGGCACTGATGAAGGTGTCCTCTGATTTGGATCCATTGTGTATTTTCATTTATTATTTGGTCAATTTCTAAGGCTTGCTTGTCTCAGTCATCAGCCATACAGAACTCCCATATGAGCAGGGGATTCCTAATATATTACTGGGAACAATTTTGTGCAGGCACAGTGGGAAAGCTTGCAGATTTATCTACAACAGTAAAGCCAATGGAGAAACTTGTGATTGGGGATGAGTTGCAATTGGGTCACGAAGCCTGTACAAATTAGCGTTCCTCTCTTCTCTTCAGGGTTTTACTTTCAGGTTAATGTAGGAAGACTAATCTGAAATGAAGTGATATGCATAAGCAATGCTCATGTTATTTTATTTAAAGCAGGTAGTTGTTTCCTTAACTGACATTAGTGTTTTAGTCTCTTCTTTTTTTCTTCTTTTCTTCTCTTCTCAAATAATTTTAATGCAGATTATCGTCATCTAATATCAATAGCAACGCAATGTTTCTTGATAGTTTCAAAGAGTTGATTAGGAAAGACTAAGTCCAAATTTGTTTCAAGTGGCAAATTTGAGATTAGGAGTTCTACGGTTGTTATCTAAAGTACAGAGTGACAAGGACATTCTGAAGGGGAAGAAAATAACTCGCAGAGAAAATGCAAAGGAATGAAAATCAAACTATTGTATAGAGAGTTTATGTATTTTACATTTGGGAAGCTTTCCTAAACTTAACAACACAATTAAAGAAAAATAGTTATTTTATTGTTTTCTTGAGACTAACATGACATATCTCTTAGAACTACATTGCTTTGCGCCCTGCTGCTTTGGTGTTTCCCATAATAATCATACAGAGTGCTGAGATACACATGGTTCTCCACTAGTGTATATGCTTGAATATTAAGGAACGCCTATCTGTTTTTCAGAGAAAGGGCACAACGTGGTACAACTCAAAAGGAAATATTAACCTAGAAACAGAAGCAAACTCAGTGGGATCCCACCTAAATATGGATAGCTTCCCCAAAGCCACGACTGCCTCTGTTACTCAGAAGCAAACAATCAGAGAGCAACAAGGCCCATGGCTTTGCTGTGCTAGGAACAAGTGAACATCATCTGAGATCACTGAGAGTACAAGTGAGCGTGTGCTAACAACAGTGTGCATCTCACTCTGGGCTGGTTTATATCCTTTTCATCTCTAAAAGTACCACTTTCATACTGGATGTGAGACAGCTGACAATATATATAACTTGTGAAGTGGGAGCTTCATGTGGAAATCAATTTTCCATAATCTTTCCGATCAGGTGATTTGTTTGGTGGTAGGAATTATGGTGACAGGTATATATGGGAACTGATCCTCATGAAAGGACATACAGTGGCCTGAAAGGAAAAAATGTACTGTGATTTAGCTCTTTGAGAAAATATTACAAATATATCTATCACCTAACACTTAAGGTCAAGACACACTTGAGTCAAACTTGACTTCTGTGACTACATTGTTATGTTCATGCTGTTTGGCAACATATGATATACAGATAAAAAGAACAGATTGCACAACATACTATTATTTGGTTTTTGTGTTGGGTTCTTCAATGTCTCAAAACATTCTTACTATGTATATAGAGACTGGAAACATTTCTAGTCAATAGTGGTAAATGTTTTGGGAGTATCTGATAGTATATTACAGACACTGACTAGTGAGTAGTGTGCCTTCAAGTCAGTTTTTGACTCCTGGTGACTGCCTGGACAAGTCCCTGCAGTTTTAGTAACTTATTTGAAAAATGAGCAAGGTATATTAGGTAGTCAGCAAATATTAAATTCCAAGATTCAACCAGAAGAATCTACAATTTAACTTGACTTTCCAAATAGGATAGCTGATCCAGTTTGAATAATTGTATTAGAGGCATCCAAACAGATTCAACTTGAACCATTCAGATGCACATGAACATTTGTGTTTTTATAGTACTAATCAATCTGAACTGATTCAGTTGAATTTAAAACATCAGGAGCAATTTGCGCATCCATAGGATGTATAAGAAGACTGAATAAACTATCTCCTTAAGATGTAGAGTAAAATCTAAGTTGATAATGGGATGAGGAAGATTTGCAGTTGGAATCTGCTGTGGGGTTTGTTGCTGTTAATTTGTTAGCAGTTCATGCAGCTTCAGGCTAGTTATGAGGATTTAAAAAAGGGTTCAGCAAAGAGGGCTGAACATGCTAGCTCCCTTCAGCACTACCATGTGGGACTGCTAATTAGGTTTTTAATTTTTTTAGGAGAAATCTTAATTTTGAATTTCCTACCATGTCACATCTAGGTAGACTTTAAATTAAATGTTCTTGCGTGCCACTAACTGCAGCTAATACAGGCTTGCAAATCTCTCACTGAAATCAGCAGGAACAATGGAAGTAAACCAATTTATCTGGACTGTTGCTGTAGGACAACTGATCAGACTTGGGAACATGGATGTCCGACAAAGAGCAAAGCATTACATACAGAGAAGCCCCCAACCACAGAGACAGCACCTCCCAGCCTGGCACTCCCCAGCTGTGTAGGGACAGCAGCCTCCAGGATCTGGGAATTCTGTGCTGTCTTCACACATTTCCAGGGGGCTAGATTGGAGAAGGCAAATACTGATGAATACTTATCACAAACCTCCTTGTATTGCCTCATTTTGTCCTCAACAAGGGTAAGTTCAAAATGAGCCCATGAAATGAATTTATATTTAAATTTCATGATCCAGAACAACCATTGGAATGCTGGGACTCATAAGACAGACATAAAGCTCCTGCTATACTGGTATTCTGTCTTTTTTTAATTAAATGTCAACATGTGAGTGGTTTTTGAAGTCATAATCATAAAAGGAAAGAAAACTAGTGTAGCTGATTGCTTCAAGGCCAAGTCCTCTATTAAAAAGAATTAAATCATAAGCAAAGAGCAGGTGTGCAGCAAAAAAGGGCCTTGCCAAGCAGAAAGATCAAATAACTCATGCAAGTGAGCCAAGCCACAGAGTATAAAAGCGGGGAGGAAAACCAACACTTCTGGGATTGCAACCAGTCTGGCCTGGCCATTTTAAGCATACATCCAAAAATGTTTCATGTGTGTGTGTGTGTGTGTGTGTGTGCGCGCCTGAAAAAGAGACAAGTAATATAAATGTCAAAACATGTATTATCATTAGAGAGCCAGGATTGATTGCAGATTCTTGCGGGGGGGTGGGGTGTACACTAAGTGGCATGCAAAGCTTCTTGGTATGGAACCATATCCCCCTCTTTCCCCTTTCCTTCTCCTGATAAGTTGGGATGAGGATTTAGCCCCAGACAGGATTCAATATCTATGTTTTGGGGCACATATGGACCAACAATAGTGGTTTAAAAGTTTTATTGAACACATTGCTAAACAATCTAGTTTAAAATTCTAAACTGTTTAAAGTCACATTTGTAATGATAAAACAATGATTGGTAAAACGTGAACCCTTAAGTCTCTCTCTGGCTGCAAAAAGGAAGGAGAAGAGACCAGGGGGTCAGAAGGAAATTGAAGAATTCACTTGGGTTTACATAGTACCAAATCTTCAATTTAGTGCTATGTGCACCCATCTAAGGGCTGAAGCTCACAAGGGAGAACCAACCATGTTTGGGCAAGGCAGAACCATGGAATGGATATCTCCAACACTGAAGCCTGGGACAAGAATGAGCAACAGTCTATTGGTTCGAAAGGGTCAGATGAAAAGTTCTAGGATTTAAACCCAATGGTGAGATAGATACATATGAATCCTGTGTTCTGCACTAAGCAGATCTTCTGGTTATATATGACTTTCCTTTGATTGATTAACTGATTGAGTGCCATCAAGGCATTTTTGACTCCTAGTGACTACACAGACAGTTTTTCTCCATGACAACTTCTCTACTATCTGTAATAAAGCACATTATTGTTATCTGTTGAGTCTCTGAAGCTTTTGCTCTAAAGTTGTTACAGAAAGTGGGCTTGTTCTGGGAAATTCAAGATTTCCAATTAAATAAATAAGTCCCCTGTGATTGTTTTGTTATTTGCTTGGTAGCCATGTTATATTTGGTATTTATAAATTGCATTGCTTATTATTATGTGCTTTTTTCCTTTGATTTATTGTCTGTTTTTGTGCGGTACACTGCCCAGAGTGACACTGGTTGAGTTGGGCAGCTTTATAAATCAATCAATCAATCAATCAATCAATCAATCAATCAATCAAATAAATAAATTGGCCAATGTCCTGAGCAAGCTAATGTTAACTGCAAACCAAGTCAAAGTGTGAAATAGTTCTGAAACTCAAGGTGCACCATCAGGAGTACACATTCTTAAAGATTTTAAGCATTCTGGGTGTCATTTTCAACTCATGAAGATGACAGTGACATGCTGTTACCTCTTAGACTACTGTAATTCACTCTACATGGGGCTGCCCTTAAAGGTGAACCAGAACTGCAGCTGGCACAGAACGCAGCTGCCTGCTTGCTGAGTGATGCTCGCTGGTTCAACAGAATCCTTATTTGATAGAACTGCAGTGGTTGCCAGTGGGTTTCCAGGCCTAATTCAAGGTGCTGGTCATTACCTATAAAGCCCCACATAGCCTGAGCCTTTGTTACCTTTGGGACACTCTTCTCCAGGTAGAAACTGCCTATCCTACACAGTCTAGCCAGGAGAAAATGGTGCAGGTGTCCACTCCCAGAGTGACTAAGGTTGGCAATACCCAGAAAATGGCACTGTCAGTTACAGCCCTCATTTTAGACCAGCATGCCCCCAGAGGTTCGGTTAGCTCCTGCTCCTTTATCCTTTAAGAAGCAGGCATAAATAATCCTCTTCCACAGGGCATTTGGTGAAGAAATTTTAAAAAGAGATACAGGTAGCCCTTGCTTGCTGACCCCTTGTTTAGCAACTGTTCGAAGTTACAACAGCAACAAAAAAATGAGATTTACAACTGGTCCTCAAAGTTGCAGCCGTTGCAGCGTCCCCATGATCACATGATTGTGATTTGGGTGCTTAGCAACTGGCATGCATTTATGATGGTTGCAGTGTCCTGCGGTCATGTGATCACCATTTGCGATTTTCACAGCAAGCTTCTGACAAGCAAAGTCAATGGGGAAGCTGGCAGTAAGCTGCAAGTCGCAATCACATGACATTGTGCTTAACGACTCCGTGGGATTCACTTCATGACTGCAGACAGAACTGACATTCTAAGTTGGCATGGTCATGATGACATTTCACTTTATGACTGTGTCACTTAGTGATGGAGTTGTCAGTCCCAATTGCAGTCGGCAAGTGAGGACTACCTCTATTGGTTTTATCACTGGACATTTTAACATATGAATATTGTTAGCTGCCTAGAGTTGTATGAGTGGGTGGTGTATAAATATCTGCAAACAAACAAACAAATAAATAAATAAATAAATTGATTCCCACAATTAATGTGATAACTGCAGCTGTGTATTGCAACAGAGTACCAGTGAAGATATAGAAAACTTGCCAGAGAGATTCTGGGATGGGTAGCCTGGTCTTATTCCTTCCCATGATAGATGCAAGGGAAGAAATACTGTAGCCAGGGTGTAGGATGCAAGTATGATTCCATGACCATTTTGAAACTTCAGGGTCTGTTTATGGGGACAAGTGAGTGCCTTGCCTGAAAGTTCTTGTGAATGAAAAAAGCACATAAAATAATTCAGATTCAGGCCAATAATGACAAACTGATTGTCTCTGAGGCACAGAATGATTATCAGGGACACAACTACATAAGTATCACATCAAATTTCACTAATTTTGCTCAGGCACGAGTGAAGTTTCTGTTGATATTCTGGGACGTAGAATTGAAATCCAGCAAAAAAACTAGAAAGGCTTCCTGGGCTCCAGGATAATCTGGGGAGGATCAGGGCTAGTGTGACATGTTGGGTCACCCAGTCAATGTGGGTTTCAATGTCATCCTTACCTGAGGAGTTCCCAGCCTCTCTATTAAGGGAACCAGGTGAAGTGGGGCATATTTGGCTTCGAGACGCTTCATGCGTACCTCCAAGCGTTCTCCTTCTGTTAAGCGAGCAGCAAACAGTGAAATGAGAAAGCAAAAAGAAAAAAAATCTAGCATTTCAGAGTCATCTCCCAACCATTATCCAACTCTGGGACAAGTATGACATAAAACCGTGGAAATGCACTGTGAGGAAGGGACTCTACTTACAACTGACACCAAATACGCTTGTAAGAGGATCTTGTTTTCAAAGCAAATATCTTGCTTTGGCTGACAGGGCACCCTTTCTTGTGGAGTGGCTGGTAGGGCCCCTGGTCAACTTCAGGCAATGAACAGGCGACTAGCTCTAAGATTCTTTGAAAGCTGAAATATCTGCAACTTCGAAGGTACTACATAGCTTGGGAATAATAACTGATATCTGCGCATCTCTTCACTCCTTACCTTTGATGTAGACCCTGGGCAAAATATTTTGGAAGGGAGCAGCATGCAGCAAATCACACACTTCTTCCTGGGACTGAGGCAGGAGGAAGAAAAATAAAAGGTGTTAAAAACTCCCTAAGGAACTGACTGTTCAGCTGTTAATAGACCTGGGAAGGGCAAAGTGATCTATTTGCTTTCAGAAGGATATTCAATTATAGCTCAATATCCAGGACCACAGAACTGGTAGACAATAACTTGTGTCAAAAATATGTTTATAATAATCTTGTTTTCTGTAAAATTTGGGGGTTCTAGTTTGTTACTTCTTCTGATTCAGCAGCAGGATTTCTTGAACCCTGCTGCTGAATGGTGTAATACTCTCCCTACAACCATAATAAGGTCTGCTGATAATTAACCAAGCTCCTCCTCCTCCTTTATGTGATCTGAAGTTGTCAGGTACTGCCAAGGACTGTGAGGGTCTGTGCTGGTGTATCTTGAATAGTTACCATTATCCCACACAAGTTTATCCACATACAGGCTGCTAACAGACATATTGAATTGACTTGTCCCCACCCACCCGCCATTGTTTCTTTTTTTCTTTTTTCTTTTTTTAAAATTTTTTTAAAAATCAGCCTTAAGAAGAATTCTCCAAGTGATTTGTTTAGATATGAACTATAAAGACACTCTGGAAATTTCATCCAGTTTCAATGGCAAAACATTTGGTATGTCTCGCACTAACAGGAAAAACTCCAGAATGTACCAGAAAGAGCTCTTCCATCATTTTTACCAGGTGGTGACCTTAATTATGATAGAACATCTGGACTTGGTACTGAACATCCCCATTACAAAAACTTACAGTGTTATGCACACATATGTGACAGACACTGGTTGCATTTAAGCCAGTAAATTCGAGCAATAAGCCAGAGCCTATGAGAGAAAATGGGCTTAGTTTATATTGCACCCACTTTGACAAGGCTTTACCTTGAAAAGTAGTAAGAAAATATAAATTAACTTAATATAGTGGGGTTATTATCTCAACTTGCCTTTTAAAGAGAAAAAGATGAAAATCTGCTCATCTCTGGCTATGTTAATTCTAAGTGTGCATCAACAAAGACTCAACATTTGGCAAACCAAAAGAACAGGATGGAAAGTAGCAAGGGCATAGCTATAGATAACTTTTTCACAGAGCCTTCCTTGGCCATGACGACAATGGGACAATTATTGGTCTAATAGATGTGCAGTCAGAATTTGGAAGTTGGAAAGGTTGATCTAACACCTGGGCGCCAAGTATTCAACTGCACTTGGAATAGTGTTGCAAACCATTTTATAACTTCTAAGCAAGATGTTAGCATCCTATGGGCCACATAGAGCTCCAGACTGAGCCCCAGAAGTGTGCTTCTAAAATTCAACAGCAAATCTCTGAATTATGGTTTCCTTCTTGTTGTTGTTTTTCACAAGTAAGTAATAAAATAAATGTATCAAGTACATCTGTTTTACTGAGGGAAATGCCCAAAAATATAAAAAAGGGGGTCTGAGAATTCTGGCACTGTCCACTCTGATGATGTCACCACAAAATGGCTCTTTGGCATCATTTGACAGAGGGTGTCTTCCCGGGTGTCTTCTTTTTTAATCAACTTCATTTGGAATCAATTGGTAGCAAATTAGAGATCCAAACTATAGTCTACAGGAAGCAGAAGAAGAACCAGACTGGGGGCCAAAGTTGACCCAACCCAAGATCTTCTACGTCAGGTTTCTTAGGAAGTTGTTGCTGTGTTTTTCACCTGAAAGCAGCCATGAGAGCTGTGTGACATTTGGTTCAGGACTGTGCTGCCGGGGAAGGAAGACTTAACTGATACCTACATGCCAAATGGGGAAAAATACAGGATGGCACAAAGGAAGGATCAACCTCCTGCTCATACAGACATAGGCCAGATCCAAATCTCCAGGACCTGCTCTTACTTTTAAAAACATGGGAAATCTTGATTGGCCTTCAGGCTCTAGGTAGCTCTAAGTATACAGTGTATAATACAGCTTTTCTATCCCTCCATGTATGTCCAAACCTAAGTTTCATAGTATTCAGAGAGGCTTGAGCCTTTTGCTGGGATATTTCCTGTGAATTTTTATTCACTGCATGTTTCTTGGTATGGACCACCCTAAAAAAAAGACTCTGTGATGTAAGTTGCATATTTTCCTGGGAATAAAGCCCCAGTGATCTCAGGTCAAGCTTATTTCCAAGTAGCCATACTTAGGACTGAGCTGGAGGAGGCTGAGAGAGGAACCACAAAATGAGAAGAAACTTGAAAACACACACAGAGATCCAGAGTTAATCTAAACTGCAGACACACAAAGAGGCAAGACCTCAGAAGCAGGAATGTTGGCAGAGACTTGAGAAATGGTTACAGCAAATTCTGCATGACTCTACATGGCGGTATAGCAACAGAGTAAGCCATGATAGCTGCATGCAAGGAGGCAAGACACTGCAAAAGGAGGCGGTATCGATACATCCCTGTGTGAAGACACGTTTGGAACGTTGTGATCAATTCTCCCATTTCTAGCCACGCGTTATATGGCCCAAAACATGAGCACCGGTCCCTTATCCAAGCCTCGGTGGTTTACACAACATCTGTACATCTTTGTAGAGGAGTCTTAAGTAGTTGGTGTCTTAACTTTTACTGCAATGTTTTATAGCAAGCAATGCATTATATAATTAGATATAACTGTTTCCTGTTTTATAAAAAAGCCCACATTTCATCCTTTGGAAGTCCAACATAGAGGGGAGGTTCTAGCTGCTGAATGCAGCAAAGGGATTTCCACCAGCATGTGAAACCAGAGTCCTCTTCAGGCATTCAAGAAAAAAAAAAAAAGGAGATATACTGTCCCACCCCATCTAATCTTTTTATGTGAGAAGAGAGTCTGTACCCACTATGGAAGTTCTGTATAATCAGGGACTGTGCTCTCATGGAGTCTTAGAACTATGGTCAGCCCAATGGAGCCATTCCTATAGCCAGATTTGCTCCCTCCTCATAAAGAAGCTAAAGGGAGAAGGAGCAGATTATCATTTTTTAAATGCCAGAAGATGGCTTTCTTCATACCTAGAAGGCAAGGAAAAGTGCACATCTTTTTTACTGCATGACAGTTTAGAAACATCCTAAACATCTACTTTAGTTAATACATTAGTACATTTGTAGATTATTTTGCCCTTGAAAAAGAATCAATATATATTACTATATAACTAACTAACTATATAGTTAGTTAGTTAGTTAGTTACATTATCATGTACAGGAAACCATAAATGTTGAAAGTCTTTGACAAAGACCATTCCATTGTGAGTTAACATCTCAATCCTCTGGACCTCTGATTTAGAATAAAATGTGCTGTTCTGAAACAGCCAACAGAAGAAAAATAAACTTATGTCAAAATGTTCTCTTTGAGTCACAAGCAAGAGACAGAGTCTCAATGAAGAAACATTTATAAATAATACAATGTCCTCAGTAAACCATATTCTGCATACAGGATGCTTATCTTTATGATCATCAAAATGAAGAAGAATTATTTTAAGTATGGAATCAAAATCTTCATTTAAGAACCGAAAACTGCCAGGGAAATTCAGTAATTTGGTTATGGATACAATAAATGCAGTTTCTGTTTTTCCCAGAGCACTTGTTCTTGGCATATGATTCAGAATGCTTACCTCCATTCCACCTTCGGCAGTCTTTCTACTGCAAATTATTATTGGCCCTACAGTATTGGCACAATAAATGATGGGCTATTATTATGTGAAGCAATTCAAAGAACAATATGCCCAATAAAAGAGAGAACCTATTGTGAACTTTCAAGTACAGTTTAGATACTATGCAAATTAGAAGGATTGGCCCAGCAACAATGGGAATAGGTAGTATTCAAGAGAGTCATTATACCTTTAAAATTGGCAACTATGTTTTTCATCTTAATGGAAGATGGGAAACATCAGAAAAGCTATAAACTGGTCCAAAGGTAGGCAACCTGTGGCACTCCAGAAGTTGCTGAACTACAATTCAGAGCATCCCTAAAATATATAGCAAATTATGAAGGATGCTAGGAATTGTAATTCAGCAACTGGAGTGCTATAGTTTGTCTATTCCTTGATTGGTTATTAAGATATATTCTGATAGAAGCTTCACAGCCTTTTCATTTGGAGCTGGATGTTATCCCAGGTATGCAGGAAGCAATATTGAGTGCTACCTTGATGAGCCAAGCTCTGTTTTTGCAGCTATTAAGACCAATTTTATGCAAAATCAACAGCATGCACTACAATCATTACTGCTGCCACACCTGAAGTGGGACTGACAGGCAAGGGGTCATTCCATATTTGAAAAAAATAAATCACATGCATCATGATATCGTGGTGTGCATGTTATTACTCTGATATTATTGTGGTTTGTTAGAGAGGCAGCTGACCACAGTCTGCAATGAAGTCTGAAGGCAACTGCGCTTTTTTGCAATAAGAAATGGAAATGCGAGCAAGTAAATAAACAAAACCTTATCAGCTCAAAACACACAAGTCCTTTTGGATTTGGAAATGAATCATAGCCCACCTGACTTCCCATTTGATTTCTATGTTTTTACATTCTGATGTAACGAAGCTCTCTTTAAGCACTCAGAATGCATCAGTGTGGACAAGCACCTCTGCTTCTGTCTTTGTCCCTCTGCTTCACTCTGCCAGGCCCTTGGCAAGCCACTGAAGAGGACTGGGACTAGTAAAGCCAATCTGCAGCACCCTTCTCAATCTGGGAGCCTTCTGGCTGTGCACTGAATTTCCTGGCCAGCATGGCTATTGCTGGACTCTGAGAGTTGACATCCACACATCTGGAGGGCATCCAGGTTGGAGAAGTCTGCTGTGCAGGACTGGGAATGCAAGAGTTCCTGAACTAGGATGTTCTATAACCAGCTTAAATAGATCACAACTAAATTTACATCTAGTTGAACACAGATAGCTCATTTGTTTGTTCCTTTGTTTCACATATAATGATTTAAAGTCAACTGTTTTTCCAAATAATTCATTTTAACTCACCAGGGCCTGTTCTATGAGAAGGCAGAAAAGAATGGCATTACCCACTTCTCTCAGACTTTGGAATACATCAGTCTTTAGTTCTGCATATTCAATTATGTCTTTCAGCTGGTGATGGAAAAACTCCAGGATTCCTAGGGAGAAGCAAGATATAGATAAAAAAGTGAAGTACAGTAGATGGCGTTAGGGTGGGACTTTCCCTGTCCCACCCCAGATCACACTGCATTCCAGACCATATTGCATGCCTCTTGATACAACTAGAGCAGTGTTTTTCCAACTTGGCAACTTTAAAATGTGTGGACTTCAACTCCCAGAATTTCCCAGCCAGCATGCTGGCTGGGGAATTCCG